GTGTGATGTCATGTTGGCTATATACAACTCCACAGAAAAATGCCAGACTGTTTCGTCAGACTTTGACCGACTTATGGGAAGGCTGTGTGTGTGTGTGTGTGTGTGTGTGTGTGTGTGTGTGTGTGTGTGTGTGTGTGTGTGTGTGTGTGTGTGTGCTTGCATAATATGCATATATATGACATATCCGTCATTGAGTACATGAGGGAATTATCCTCACCACCAGCATCATCCCTCTTCTTCCTTCTCTTCCTTCTTCGCCCCCCCCCCCCCCCCCCCTCTTTTGTGACCTTGAGCAATGAATGACTGGATGGCTTCTCGGCGAACATAGTGTTGGGAAGAGATGGAGATGACCGTCAGGCTGTGCGTCACCTACATGTCGTCAAACGAATGCCTCCATTTTTTTTTGTTTCTTTTTTCAAAGACTGATCATTAGCAAAGACTTGCTATTAAAAAAAAAAACAAAAAAAAAACGACTTGCTATTTATTGGATTTTTTTTTTTGGGGGGGAAGAATCATTAGCTTTTGTTACAAATGAAAGAAGGCCAGGAATTCCTCACAAACAACCCAGCAGATATGAAACCGATAGCCCTAAATTAAATTGGGCTGTTAGCCTGTTGCTGGAAAACGGGTCCACCGTCCCTTCCTTTCACTAGTCTACCTAGCAGATCATTGCAGTGCCGCTCATCGATGCTAAACTACTATCGAACCATGCTCAGTTGACTAATTCAGCAGTGTTACGTCCCGCCAGGATCCAAACAAACGGCTAAACCTTACAAACAAAAACTAGCCTATAGGCTCAATGACTAGGAGCTAGGAAGGAAGAATAAGCATTAGGGTTAGTACCCTCTCATCGTCCCTCAGGCTGTCCAAAACACTGTAAAGAGCCTTCGTTGCGTAGACGGGTTTCCCACCACGCACCCGATGGATACAACTCCCCCCCCCCCCCTTAAAACAGTCCCTACAGTGCTAGTGAAGTGTGCTCTTTACAGGGTCTCTCTTACCACCAAGCCAGTAGAGTTCCTACTGCCTCTTGGCACACTCTCACTGCTCCTGGAGGCAGCCTACTGGTGATCCGGCGAGTTTAACCCTAAACCACTGCAAACATTTCAACCTCCAACCAATGTAAACCAAAATCCTACACCCCCACAATCCTATAGCCCATTACTATGTCCGAACTATATACCTTACATATTTCTAAATACAAAACACTACCGGCGATCTATAAATGTAGCAGAACCGAAAGGAACAATACAAGTTTCATTTCTCACGGAATTCAGGAAACAACAACATACCGAAAAAGGACGGTATGCTAAAATACGACTAACGGACAGCAGCGCCGAGCAAGCTCTCCCACTGCATCCACCGATGCTGCTGCCAAGATTCTAGTTGATCACAAAAGTTGATGTATCCACCTTGGAGAGTCGTCTGAGTAGAGGTGAAAGATGGAATCATCAGTACAGCCAAATGTGGAGTGTATCAGGTCGTATCTTGGCAGTGTCGGCAGCACTCCCACGGCCATCGCAAGCCCTCCCAGTGCTTCCGCTGACGCTGCTGCCGTGCTGGCGTGAAGAGGTGAGTGAAGGTGAACCACACTCCTCTTCGGTGGTGACAAAGGAGCCCCCCCTTTCGAGCTTGAGGCTTGAGGGGAGGACGGCTCCTCTGGTGTCGGGATCTCATCAGGTATGAGGGTTTGGTATGGTGTGAAGGTCCGGTACAGGGCTGCCAGGATGCCCTGGTGTACGAGTGCAAAAGCACTCCCTATCCCACTCGAGGGATAGGCTACACCAAGACACTGTCCGCCATGGCTCTCACACAGCTGTGGTGCCTGGCAGGGTAGGCGCATTGTGGAAGGATCAACTTCGACATACTCAGACGCTGCGCTCTACTCAGCTGCCACAGACGACCGGGCGCAGCCACCGCCGCTGTCACCGTTCCAACGCGAACGCACTTTTCCACGCGGCCCCCCTAATAATATTTTTTGTCCTAACCTTCTTTTCTTTTTTTTTTTTTTTGAACAGTGGCAACCAAATGTCTTATGATCCAGGAACTCCGGCCTGATTCATACGACAGCTGCTTTGGAATTATAAAAGCCGAAAAACGGGTCCGGCATCCCTCACATCATAGAAA